ACCAAGGTCAGAATTTTCAATACAAATGTCAATACAGTTCTACTGTATGAAGCGGAAACATGGAAAACGACGAAAGCCATCATCCAGAATATACAAGTGTTTATTAACAGTAGTCTACGCAAAATAATTTGGTTCCGTTGGTCAGACACTATCAGTAACAACCTACTATGGGAGAGAACAAACCAGATTGCAGTGGAGGAAGGAATCAGGAAGCAGTGCTGGAAGTGGGTAGGATACTCATCGAGGAAAGCACTGAACTGCATCACAAGGCAATTTCTCACATGGAGTCCTCAAGGCTAAGCAAAGGAGAGCAGGAATACCAAAGAACACATTACGCTGAGAAATGGAGACAGACATGAGAAAAATGAACAACAATCGGATCGAACTAGAAAGTAAGGTGGAGGACAGAGTGTATTGTAGAATGCTTGTCGGTGGCCTATGCTCGATTGTCAGTAACAGGTGTAAATACATACATTATGATAAGACATCATAATGGAGCATAAACTTAATCGAATTAATGCAATTTAATGTGGATAAATAAAAATGGTCTATTGTTTATTTCAATAGTTAAAATCATGAGTCAGTTGAAGCTATTTTGGGACTGCTCATCAGTGCGCATCCCCGATCCCTCCTCCTCCCCGCGAGATTCGAACACAGAACCTACCAGTCTCACACGCAAGCGCTTAACCACTTGACCACTGAGCTGGTCGGCATCTAACTTCTACTAACACGAAACGGCCGTTCAGTGATTCCAGGTTTTCTATGGTGGTCTAGTTTCAACTGACTTATGATTTCAACTATTGAAATTTCTAAAATCTCCACAAAGCCCCTTCCGCTCTTGTTTATTTACTTAAATAAGTATTTCACCAAAGTCACAGTATATATATATACCCTCCTTGCTTATAGGTTACTTTCAAATGTGAACTATAGCGTAAACAATCTAATTATTATTACAAACTGTGTTCTAAATAACTTTATGATCGTTCGTTTTCTTTTTTCTTTCTTTTTTTCTTTCTTTCTTTCTTTTTTATTCCCCCCCCCAAAAAAAACTAGTTCACTCGGTCAACTTGATTAAATTTTATTTTTCCGAAACAAATAGATAAATAAATAAATAATTATCACTAATGCTTGAATGAACAATAAGTCGACCTATCAATAGAAAAAGATTAAATGGAATTGTATTTTTGATTAATGATTAGTTAGTTAGTTAGTTAGTGAGATAGTTGTATTATTGAATTGTGTTATTCCATAAGTATTTATTGACCTGATAAGTTTGATTTCAATTAAAGTTACTAGAAAGTTTAAGGCGTGAATTATTGAATATTCAATAACTGAATTTGATTATTTACTTACTTACTTACTTACTTACTTACTTACTTACGCCTGTTACTCACAATCGAGCATAGGCCACCGACAAGCATTCTCCAAGCAAATTTGTTTTCCACCTTCCTTTCTAGTTCTATCTAATTCTCGTTCATTCTTTTCATAACTGTTTACATTTGTCGATATAATGTGTTCTTTGGTCTTCCTCTTCTTCTTTGCTTGACCATGAGGATTCTATGTGAGGGCTTGACTTGTGACGTATTTCGGTACTTTCCTCAATATGTGTCCTATCCACTTTCAACACTTCTTCCTGATTCTTCCTCCGCTAGGATTTGGTTTGTTCTCTCCCATAGTAGGTTGTTACTGATAGTGTCTGACCAACGGAACTGAAGTATTTTGTGTAGACAACTGTAAACAAACACTTGTATATTCTGGGTTATTGCTTTCGTAATTGTCCATGTTTCCGCCAAATACAGTAGAACTGTGTTAACATTTGTATTTAATAATACCCTGTTGAAGACGTTTCCTGATATTGGGAGAAGAGTGGTACCTCTGTAGTTCTCAATCTTGTTGAGATCGCCTGTCTTTGGTATCTTGATCAGCTGTCTTTCTTTCGAGTCTGTTGGTACTTGCTCTTTATCCCAAATCTTGCTGAAGAGAATGTGGAGTAGTTACTGCTACTGTAACACCTCCTTTCAACTGAATTTGATTAGACTCATTAAAAAGTACATTCTTAGAAAGCTGGGATAGTATTAAAATAGAAATTGATCGACTGTGTGAAAATAGCTACGTGTTGATGAGAAACCGGAAACTGTTTAAGAAAGTTCTGTTTAATGTGATGTCAGCCGGATCTATGAACGTGTGAATCATAAGTTTGTTGAAATGCATATTTAATAAACCAAGTCTGTTGGATAATCAGAACAACGATAAATAACAAGTAGGTCAAACATCATTCTAGTAAAGAGAACAGATTAATCAAGAACAACCAATAAAATTCCAAATCAATAAAATAAGTTCTCATCCGAATACGGAAAACTAGCTCAGTTCTTCTTCAAACATATATTGAACATAATCAGACAAGGGCTTTGTGGAGATTGTAGTAATTTAATACTAGAATTCATGAGTTAATTGAAATTAGACCACGGTTAAAAACTTTGAAGCACTGGATGACCATTTC